AAGGTATCCCCCATATGTTAATCTGATGCGCTTGAGTAACTCCCAAAATCCCCTTGGGCTCCCCTACTACTATAAATATTTTATCTTCATCTATGACTAGATTCTCAACCTTACATATTTAATGTAAAATAGCAAGTATAAATGCATAAGGAATTTCACATCATAATATGCAATTTGAATCTTTTTGCCTTCTCATCAGTTTTAGATGATTTAATTCAAAAAACGTAATTTTATTGTTTTATCTGTATTGTTTATGTCCTATTGTGTGGTAGAAAAGTTTTAAAACAATAACGAGAAAATACATATTTTTGCATGTTTTTTATTTTATTAAAAATGTGTTGGTCGATTTGTAAGATAAATGCCTTTAATTGATGCCCTTATCCTGAATTTTTAGCCACTTTATCCTGAAACTAAGCAAATAATAGTCGACAACTCTAGGCCTGCATTAATTTTTTTTCCCGAGTATGTTACACCCCACAAAATTAAAAATGCACTATTTCTACATCAGTGATTCATTTTTTTGAAATTTGATAATTACATTGAATAAAAAATATTTGTTCTCCCATTTATATTAAATCTTTTCTTTCAAGCAGTCTTCTAATCTTTTTATTACTTCTATTAATTCATATTTTCTCCTTACTAGAATTCAATGAATACTAAACAAGCCTCTTTTGGTAAATGAGTCCTACTCTACTGATATTTACCTCTCGTATAGATCTATATTTATTTTAACAAGCTTCACTATAATACACCTTGTTTAATACAATCAAAATTCATAAATCTTTTTAACAAAAATCAATGAAAAAAATTAAACTAATTAAAAATGTATTTATTTTTTATAGATAAAAAAGAAAAACTAACATGTACAATTTATGCAACTTGTTTCTGTTCTTTCTTAGAAGCTTCAATAGCAGCTTCACTCTTTTCATACTCAGCAATAAGTTCCTCAACCTCTTTGCTGTTTAGAATATTTATAATCGTTTTGTTGTTGACACGGGTCAGCGTTGCCATTTCAACTGAAATTAATTCATTATAACACACTTATAACTGTTATTATAAAAAAATACCTTTTTCTGAAGTCAATTTTGTCATATCTAAAGTTTTACTAAGAACTTTAACTGCTAAAGACTTAGCATCCTTTAAGGCCATCTCTCCTTCTTTATACTCTTGTTTTAAACTAGAAATAGCGGCCTAAAATAAAAAAAATATACATATTTGAGAAATCTTAATAAATTATATTAAATGGTTTTCTGGAATACTTACTGCACTATTATTTCCTATACACGTAGCTTTCCATCCACTATAATTTCCACTTGGATCTGACTGATACAACTGATAACCATAGTGCTTATCCCACCCCATGTACAGAATAGAGACTCCAAAAGGACGTTTACCTATTATTTGAATATGGAACATTTTAAATCTTTATTAAAGAAGCTGTAACTAACTAGCTAATATTTAAAGAATGTCTAGAATATCAAGAATGAGCATTTGTTATTAAAATGTTTCAATAATTACACATGTGTACTGTGTCATGAATATATTCCTGTACTAATGAGTAAAATCAATATTTTGTGAAATTAACTATTAATCATAAACAGTAACCACAACTTTTCCAAAGAAAGAAATATTTTACAGCAGTTAGTTAATTTTCTTATAATACCATTTAATATACAGTGTATTCTGATTTATAGGTGTACAGGTCATTAACTTAATAAAAGACAAAGGAAATTCCAATCCTTTTTTTTATTAAATAGACCATACGGTCGTGTATATTTAAAAAGCATATGTATTCTTTAAAATTGGCATTTCCGAGATTACTACAATTTTTGAAAACTTGTATAACTATTTTTTTTATTTTAACAGGATATTATTCTACATATGAATCTGTCGATAGGCGCACGGTTTAAGGCGTCAGTACTTAAATCAATGTGTGGTATTCGGTCTGGGTTTGATTCCCACGGCCGGTAGACCGTAGATTAGCTATGCTTGTATGGAGGATTGGCACCCTCTGTGCAGGTATGGTAGCGTGGAAGAATGTTGGCTTGGGTCAATGTGAGAGATTGACACCAGTTGGCATTTGATCACCCCCCTAATTAATGAGGTTTTCCAGGTTTTCCTCATTCTGAATGGTGGTTAGGGCATACCAACATAAGTCGTTCCTGGGCGCAAATACGGCCTGCTTAATAATAATATGCCGCCTACTCTCCCACATAAGTCCCCGACTTCTGGGCTATTTCTCGTGGTTAGAATGAGGAGTAGAGATATTATTATTATTATTATTATTATTATATTGTTAGATTTCGATCCTAGTGAACCCTTAGACTGAAGAAATCAAGTGGACCAGAACCTGTCATCGCGCCTGTCTCGACCGAGAAAAAAAAACTTACTTGTCACTCGACACCGAGCCTGGCAAATTCACTATTCATTACCTCGAATATTATGAAACAGTTTATAAATAATAAACCTTGTAAGATTTGTATTTTTCAGTTTACATCTAACAGCAGTGGTGGGATAGTTTTCACGTTTTCCCATTCTACCTTGAATTGTGCGAAAGCAGCTTTCATCACGGAAGATTCCATGACGGAAATGATGAAATGTATTAAACATTGCGGAGTAGCGCCGGATCAGATTGACTTGCCCTTTTTCAATACAAAAATTCACGATGCTCAGAATTGGATAAAACAAGTGGAGGAGATTAAAACAGAATTCATGTGGTCTGATCTGCAGGTATTGGTAAGAGTTGGCCGATTCATAATTAATGAAGTGAAAATTTGGTTTAATAGTTGGACTCCAACTGTGCGTAATTGGAATAATTTTAAAACCGATTTCTCAGAGGCATTTCCTCCAAAGAAAATCTTAGGACGTTTCCTGTATGAAGCGTCCGTGTGTAACAGTAGCTATTTTAATGCTTATACCACTTATGCTCATAAAAAGTTGTCACTTTTAAAAAATTTGCGTGCAAATTGGAGTACATCAAACTTAATCGAAATGACTATCTATGGAATTAAAGAACCTAAAATCCACGAACCAATTTCGATGCGTAATTTTGATTCTATTGCAGACATGCTTTCATATTTAGGCACTTTAAATAAACAAACTCTAGATTATAGCGTAACGGTGAAATATGATAATGAAACACCGAGTGTGAAGCGACCTAGATCAGAATGGTCTGCAGGGATGAATAAGCCGAATTGTTTTCTTTGTGGTAGCGTGGGTCACGTTCAGCGACATTGTCTATTAAACATATCGTCAAAACAATTTCTATCGCAAACCGCGAATAAGAATTCAGTAATAAATTCCAATACTCCGACCGATATTGCTAATACCCCCAATACTTCAAATAAATGCACCTTCTGTTTCAAACCAGGGCATATGGAAAACAAATGCTTTCTTAAAAATTCCATAGAACATTGTCGTAATTCTGTGCGCTTCACGCGTTTACCATATGATAAGACTATAGTGCCAACCAATAAAAGTTACAATAAATAAACAAATTTATATGGGTTTGATCGATACTGGGGCGAATATTTCTCAAATGTCGGACAAATATATTGAACGTTTTCGTGACGGTTTAGTTAGCTATAAATGCCCTATTGTTGGTATTACACCAGGCACAATTTTATCTAACTATAAATTTAATGCGAATGTTGAAATCACCGGACAACAAACTAGTTTAACATTTTTGATAGTACCGGCTATACATCTAGATTATGACGTTATTATTGGATGTAATTTATTTCACAATACTAACCTAGCTACACTGACGGACTGTGATGGTACTCGAGTTATCGGCAGACAGCTTCCTGGAGTTTTATGTATTTCAGAGGATACTGACAATAATTTACGGGTACCTATGGAATATCGGGCTCAATTACATAATTTATAGGAGTCATTCGCGGACAATATAACAAGTGGTACGGCGGTTTCAGCGGTAAAGACTACAAAAATGGAAATTAATTTAATCGACGATTATATTGTCTCGCGGCGTCCATATAGTCTTTCAATAAGTGAACGGGAAGAGGTTCGAAGAATTATTGCAGATCTGTTGAAGAATAACATTATCCTTGAGAGTATGTCGCCGTATTTACAAGACATTAACTTCGAAATCGTCTATCGTAAAGGGTCTACTTTAAATCACGTTGACTTCCTTAGTCGCAATCCGGTTTCTGTTTTACGTGTGAGATGCCATGAATCATGGTTGCATATTGAGCAGAAGGGTAATGCTGAAGTTCAGCAAATGCTGCGCGATTTACGGGAAGGTAAGCTAGATTCTACTCAATATCTAGAAAAGGATGGAAAGTAATAAAACCAAAATTGTTCCTTATTTTGTACCTCGCCAAAGTAGGTTGGGACTTTTACATATATTTCTCAGTCGAGACAGGCGCGATTACAGGTTCTGGTCACTTGATTTCTTCAGTCTAAGGGTTCACTAGGATCGGAATCTAACAATATATTGTTTAGGCAAAAATACAGATTGTCTTTTTTCAACATCAATTCAGAAAAAATAAATAATAAAATTGAAGTATCTAAGTACCCTTACAAGAACCTATTACTATTTAAATTTGTTATTTTGAGGAAGTTATTAGTTTCCAAATACTTATTTTCTTAGGGTCCTATTAAAAATATGTAATTATTTTAAGTTTATTCTTTTTTACCTATTATGTCAGCTTGTACATCTATAAATTGGGATACCCTGTATACAATAAAAATAAATTAAATACCTCCATATTGTGTGTAGGCCTGCTTAACATCACATAACCAAGAAACTAATTGTTCGCAAGGTATGGATTCACCATACTGAAATAAATATCGTTGTCCAATTAAACGTAGTTCATTGGTTAATACATTGGCATCTGATGTGATTCCTGCCACACTACATACCATATCACTAAAATTTCAAGTTTATTTGAATTACGGTAAAGTCAGTCGCATATTTCTTTTGTACGAGTTTTTTTTTCCAGAAAATAATGCTTTAATTAAATTTGCTTATTTTCCTTTACTATTTTGAAATTCAGGTCAATTAGTATGCTACCGATTTATTTGAAAAGAGACTTAAGACTTACTCATTCAATTTATAGATTTTTTCTGATGTGAACACTTCATCTAACAATTTGTTGGTATTGCGTCTTTCTGCAGCTAATAATATTCCATCATTAGCAAGGATTCCTAAACAAGTACCAGCATGGGAAATAGCTTCCATTGCATATTCAACTTGGTACAATCTTCCTGAAAATTAATATAATTTTAGACAACAGTATTTAGTGTATAAATTTAGAAATACATAATACTAATACTCACCCTCTGGGGAAAAGATTGTTGTTCTTGTATCATAACGTCGGGCCTAGAAATAATAAAAATAAGTAAAAAGGATGACTTTGCATTAAAAAACCATAACCTCAATTAAAAAAAAAATGAATTTAATGTATTATCTCCCAACAAACAATTGTAAGTAATATTTAAAAACAATTTTAAAATTACTTACCATTTTAAGTATTTTCTGTTAACCAATTTAAAGCAGACGTTGGTTAAACACTAATGATGCAAATTCAGTATTTGGATTTCGTAGTTATTAAACAACTTCGTAATGATGACAATCATGGAGACTAGATAAGGAGCACGAACTCATACGGAAAAATTGACAAAATTTGTCCAAGAAATGGCAGAAGTTGGGGTGGCGCTAGTGTTCCATATGACCCAAATGAATGTAGCTTCATAAATACGAGTGAAGTAAGCAAATAACCAATTTTATTTTATTTATATCGAGTTTAGTAGATATATTGGGGAGCGGGGAGGTATACTAAACCTAAAAACTAGAAGTCAAGTCAATAATTATTACAATTTGTTTTTATAAATGGTAAATAGAAAGTTTCGAAAATAATTTAAATATGGTAATAGTATGTGAAGTGAATGACTGTCAACAGATTTAAAATAAAACAGTACGTTTGTGATCTGCATTTTCAATCTAATGATGTCCAGCAGTTCTATATTACAACTTGACCGAATAGTGGGTTAATATTATGGCAAAAGGTCGAATAATTCGGAAG